TATGGCTAGAAATTGGCCTCAATGATTTGGGATCGAGGGGGATTATCCCTCTTTATCCTGCCTCATCTCGTGTAGGCCTGGACAGCCTTCGTAGGTGGGCCCCATCCGTCGTCTACCCCGACCGCAAATGCGGCCGGTGTAGGCGCTTTGTGGGACCTCCTTTTGTCCTGGCTGGGCCCCGCCGGCTAGGGCCCTTTCTTCTGGCGCTCTTCTTGCTTCGCCGGCTCGTCTGTGTAAACCCCGGGAGTGGTGTCATGTTTAGTGTGGTACGGTTTGGTAGGGCAGTGCGGCTATGCAGCCTAGGATGCGCTTTGCTAGGGTGGCCCTTAGGCTAGCGCAGGAGGGGAGGGGTAAGGAGGGTATGGGGAGTGTGTATGTGTGTCGTTGTCTTCGTTTCTTGATCCTGGCGGTCTCTGAAACAGAAAAGTATAGCGGGCAGGGAGGGGGGGGGATGTCGTTGGGGTGGTCACACAGGGTCAAAAAGTTGGTGTCTAGGTCTTTTGTGTTTGTCGGTCACGTCGGGTACATAGTCAACGGCTTGCCTGAGGAGGGAATTGTCATGTCTAGCGGCTACGTCAAATCGTTTCTNGACGCGCCCTGGTACGTAAGAAACTCTGACATATTACGAGACTTACAATACACAAAATACACAAACGCTACACAGACAATAAGACAAAAACGGTTTAACGTAGCCGCTAGACATGACAATCCCCTCCTCAGGCAAGCCGTTGACTCGCCATTATTCCATGGCTAGAAATTGGCCTCAATGATTTGGGATCGAGGGGGATAAAACTCTTTATCCTGCCTCATCTCGTGTAGGCCTGGACAGCCTTCGTAGGTGGGCCCCATCCGTCGTCTACCCCGACCGCAAAATGCGGCCGGTGTAGGCGCTTTGTGGGACCTCCTTTTGTCCTGGCTGGGCCCCGCCGGTAGGGCCCTTTCTTCTGGCGCTCTTCTTGCTTCGCCGGCTCGTCTGTGTAAACCCCGGGGGTAGTGTCATGTTTATGTGTGGTATGGTTGGGTAGGGTAGTGCGGCTATGCAGCCTGGGATGCGCTTTGCTAAGGTGGCCCTTAGGC